CTGATGTTTAAAGCTAGCCTTGTCAGTTCAATGCTGTTCTCTGTATGTGTGTGTGAACATTTTGTGTTTTAGGTGAGAGTTTATAGAGCAACTTAAGTTTCCATTCAATAATTTATATACAAATTATTCCATGACATTGGTTGTTATTCCTACAGTGTGTAATCCTTTCCCCATATCTACCCTACTGTCCCCATTTCTATCCCTCCAGTTTCCTTGCCCCTTCTTGCTTTCTCATCTTTGCTTTTGGTCAAATGTTGTCCATCTGGTCCTATATAGTTGATTGTTCTAAGGAGCACATTCCTTTCGGTTGTTACGGTTTAATTAGATAATCTATTATTTGGCTGAAAGGTGACATGTGTTTGTGACTTCATTTCAAGATTAAAACCTTTAGCGTAATCATTTTGGATTTCTCCAACCTAGTAAATCTGGCCGTTATTTAATGCATTTAAGTTTTGCTCTACATTTTATCCCATTCTAACCAGGACCTTCTATTGTGCCCTGTGGTGGTTAGTGGTAGCCAGGCACCATCTAGTTCTTCTGGTCACAGACTAGAGGAGGCTGTGGTCTGTGTGGGTCGATAGTCCAAGTACTACAGACTAGTAGTTCCTTGAATTCTTTGGCTTCCTTCACTTTGCTTCACACAGAAGGAGATCAACAGCTGTAACTTAGATGGATGCTCAACAGGTTTAAGATTCATAATGTTACTTCCCAAATGAAGAGGCAGATTATCTTTATGAACTTTGTTATGCCAGTTGATATCCCCAAGACTACAGTTCTGAGCCTTCAAACCCAGTACTAATTCAGTTCCGTGATCTTTTTGGATATGTCTAAGAAATGTCCTTAACTATGTCCCCTCTGTGCTCTATAGTACATGTGGATATATATGCTGCATACATAAATGTTGTTAAGTGTCGTTTCCACCATGTGTCTATCAGTTTGTCGTACTGTGGTAGCTTGAGTGTTGCTGTGATGCTGGAAGCTATGCCATGGGTATTGTAAATACTAGCAGGGTCACCCATGGTGGACAGGTTTCAGTTGAGCTTCCAAACAAAGACAGAGTAGGAAGAAGGAGAGACAGACTACTTCTGTATATTTAGTCACTGAAAACCTTATGAGTAGCAGTGGAACACTGCCAGTACCAAATATTGAATTTTAAAGCACAGTGAAGAGCACCAGAATATTATCAGATATAGTGCTGGAAGACCAAACCCTTAGGTTGGAAAGTACTCAAATTGCGACTGGGGAAGAGCTGTCTCCTCATAGCCACCTCCTCAAAGTAGAGTTGACCGTGATGACACGAATGGAGTAAAGCCCTCAGGTCCTTCATTTGCTGATGGGGCACAACTCAAAATGAAGAGAAGCAGCTGTAAACATCCATTAATAATCAGAACATGGACTATACAAAGTCTGAATTTACGAAAATTCAAAATAGTAAAAAATTAAATGGAATGCATAAACATTGATATCCTAGGCATTAGTGAGCTGAAATGGACTGATATTGGCCATTCTGAATCTGACAATCATATGGTTTACTATGCTGGGAATGACAAATTGAAGAGGAATGGCATCCCATTCATCATCAAAAGAACATACCAAGATGTGTCTTGAAGTACAATGCTGTCTGAAAAGATAAGATCCATATGCCTACAAGGAGGATGAGTAATTACTCAAATTTGCATACCAACTATTAAAGACAGTGAAAATGAAATTGAAGAATTCTACCAATTTGTTCAGTCTGAAACTGATCAAATATGCAATCAAGATGTATTGAAAATTACTGGTAATTGGAATGTAAAGGTTGGAAACAAAGAGGAAGGACCACCAGTCAGAAAACATGGCCTTGGTGATAGAAATGATGCTGGAGATCACATGATAGGATTTTGCAAGACCAATGAGTTCTTCATTGCAAATGCCCTTTTTAAACAACATAAAAGATGACAATACACATGGACCTCACCAAATGGCATACACAGAAATCAAATTGACTACATCTGTTGAAAGACAAGGTGGAGAAGCTCCATATCATCAGTCAAAACATGACCCAGGGCAGATGGGAACACATCATCATTGCTCATATGCAAGTTCAGGCTGAAGCTGAAGAAAATGAAAACAAGTCCACGATAGCCAAAATATGACCTTGAGTATATCCCACCTGAATTTAGAGATCTGAAGAAGAGATCTGATTCATTAGACACTAAAGAATGAAGACCAGAAGAGTTGTGGAATGACATCCAGAATATCATACAGGAAGAAAGCAAAAGATCATTAAGAAGACAAGAAAAAAGGAAAAGACCAAAATGGAGACTGAAACTTGTTCTTCAGCACAGAAATGCTAAAGCAAATGGAAGAGATGAGGTGGTAAAAGAACTGAATAGAAAATTTCAAAAGGCAGCATAAGAAGACAAAGTCAAATATTACAACAAAATGTGCAAAGACCTATAGTTAGAAAACCAAAAGGAAAGAACACACTCAGCGTTCCTCAAGATGAGGGAATGGGAGAAAAAAATTCAAGCCTTGACTTGCAATACTGAAGGATTCTATGGGCAAGATATTGAGTGATACAGGAAGCATCAAAAGAAGCTGGAAAGAATACGCAGAATCACTGTACCAAAAAAATGGTCGATGTTCAGTCATTTCAAGAAGAAACATGATCAAAAGCTAATGATACTGAGGGAAGAAGTCCAAGGTGCACTGAAGGCAATGGCAAAGAGCAAGCCTCCAGAAATTGACAGAATACAAATTGAAATCTTTCAACAAACTGATGCAGCACTGGAGACACTCATTTATGCCAGTGAATTTGGAGGACAACTACCTGGCCAACTGACTGGAAGAGATCCATATTTATTATGTCCATCCCAAAGAGAGGCGACCTAATGGATGCAGAAATCATTGGACACTGCACTATCATTAATATCCCATGCAAGCAAAATTTTTCTAGAGATAATTCAAAACTGGCTACAACATTGCATTGATAGAGAATTTCCAGAGGTTCAAGTCATATTCAGAAGAGGACTTGGAATGAAGAATTGCTGATGTCAGATGTATCTTGGCTGAAAGCAGAGAATACCAGAAAGATATTTATCAATGCTTTATTGATTACATAAAGGCGTTTGATTGTGTGGTTCATGACAAACTATGGAATACATTGCAGAGCAGTAGTATTCTGGAACACTTAACTGTGCACATGAGGAATCTGTACATAGACCAGGAGGCACTTGTTCGAACAGAACAAAGGAACACTGAATGGTTTAAAATTAGGAAAGGTGTGTGCGAGGGTTGTATTCTTCCACCATACTTATTCAATCTGTATGCTGAACAAATAATCAGGGAAGCTGGATTATATGAAAAAACAACAATGCTGCATCAGGACTGGAGGAAGACTAATAACCCGCGATATGCAGATGCTACTGTCTTGCTTGCTGAAAGTGAGGAGGACTTAAAATACCGATTAAGATCAAAGTCCACAGCCTTCAGTATGGATTGCACCTCAATGTAAAAGAAAACAAAAATCCTCACCACTGGACCAGTAAATAACATCAAAACAGATGAAGAAAAGAATGAAGCTATCCAAGACTTTATTTTGCTCGGATCAACCATCAACACTCATGGAAGCAGCAGTCAAGAAATGAAATGACGTACTGCATTAGGCAACTCTTTAAAGTGTTCAAGAGCAAAGATATCAGTTTGAGGACTAAGGTGCACCTGACCCAAGCTAGGCTATTTTCAATAACCTCATATGCATGAGAAAGTTGGACAATGAATAGAGACGTTCTTAGAAGAATTGATGCATTTGAGTTATCGTGTTGAAGGAGACTAATAAAAGTACCACGGACTACCAAAATAATAAACCAATCTGTGTTGGAAGAAATACAGTCAGAATGCTCCCTGGAAGTCAGGATGGCTAGACTTCGTGTCTCATTTTTCACATAAATTGTCAGGAGGGACCAGCCCCAGAAGGATATCGGGTTTGGAAATATGGAAGGTTGGAGAAAAAGAAGATGAACCCCAAAAAGATGAATCAGCACAGTGGCAGCAGTGTTGTGTTCAAATGAGCAACAATTGTGAGGTTGATGCGGGACTGGGCAGTATTTCGTTCTGTTGTGCATAGGGTCACTGTGAGTTGGTACCAACTCAATGGCACATAACAAGTGTTGCTGAATTGGTTCCTACTCATAGTGACCCTGTATAGGGTTTTTAACGTTGTAAATCTTTTCAGTAGCAGAAGGCCTCATTTTTCTCTTGTGGACAATTGATGGGCTCAAACTTCTGACCCTGTGGTTAGCACTCTTAATGTTTATCCTATAGAGCCACCGCACTCACCGCATATACAAATATATGTATACAAATTGCCACAACTTTACCTGTGTGTGCACATGCATGTACTCTCATATGCCCGCCAATACTCACATAGGTTAGAATTCTTCCTATGGTTATTACTGTTGTAGAATGGTATGTTAATAGCATTTATGGTAGTTGTCCTTAGTTCTTGTTTACCTCTCAGTGTCTTTATCTTAATCACTTTGTGCCGACTTTCCCCATGTTGTATATTGCCTTACCCTTCATCACATAATAACAACAACAACAAATGTCTTCTAATTGATTCATCCTCCTGCCCACTACCATCCCTGACAGATAGCCATCAAAGGATGTTGCTTTTGGACTTTTCATAAAAGTGGTATAATATTTGCCCTTTTGTGATGGACTTATTTCACTCAGCATAACGTTCTCCAGATTCAAAACATATAAAATGTTTTGCAGACTCATCATTGTCCTATATTGTATGGTGTTCTTTTTCACCAAGACTCTGCCTCACTGATAAGATGGATTCTGTCAGAGAGCCCTGTTATTTATAAGAATAAATTAGATATAAGTTTAACTAAACCTCCAAAGCTCATGTCTCTATTTTTATTTATGGAAAAACAATACCAAACCAGATAGTGTAAGTAAAATGAACAATGAAATTGAACAAAGCTAAACTTTATAGAAATGTGAAACAGTACCTCAGTTCAAACTGGCTTTAAGGAATTCATAGCTGTCAAGGTGATGTAATCCTATATGAAAGAAGAAAGATTTTTTTAGAAAACAGTTCAAAGTAACTTGTCACAGTACACTGCTGTTATTAAGTGCCGTTGAGCCAATTCCAATTCACAGCAACCCTGTATAAGGTTTCCAAGGAGCAGCTTGTGAGTTTGAACCTCCAACCTTGAGGTCCAGTGCATTATCATGCTGTGTCACACAGGAAAGGGTTATTTTATATCATAAATAGTAGCTTTGGAGCTATACATTTTCATTTCAAGATCCTACCAGTTTGCCTGATTTCTTATTTCAGGATATATACTTTTAAGTTTAATATGAAAACTACCAAGCAGTATATTATTATGATGTATTTCTACTGCCCTTGTTAGTATATTCTTTATGTTTTATTAGATGAGGGTGAGTCAGAAAGTATTGCTACAAATTCATAAACAAAAGAATCAAAATGTGAAGTTACTGTTTTTCAACATATGCTCTACCTAGGTTTATTATACACTTCTGAAGGTGGCCTTGCCATCTCTAACCCTTTCCCAAAGAATTCTCCACTGCAATTTACACATCAGAATGGGAGTTTTGACAGCCTCAAGGGAAGGATTCATTTCTGAAGTTCTTTTTAGTTTAGGGAGCAAAACGAAGTTTGAAGGGGCAAAATTATAGCTGTGGAGTAGATGGGGTGAGGTTTCCTGATAAAATTCTCATAGGACAGTTCTTACTACCTTCCAGAATGAGTAGTGCATTGTTTAAATGGGAAAAAATTTCCTCAGCGTAAATTTCCTGAACTTTTTCTTACCAATGCAGTTTCCGTTTTTTAAAATTCTTTCTGCTAAACCCCCACAACAGTCCTGTGTCCTTCAAGAAAATCTATCAAGATTACCACTTTGGAGTTCCAACAACAGTTGCCAAACCTCTGAGATGACCTCTCTGTTTTGAATTTAACTGACCTAGCAGATTACCTAGAAAGCCACTCTTTGGACTGGATTGTTTTTAGAGGCACCCTTATGAGAGAGATCAAGATAAGTTTATTACTGAGCGAACTTGTTCATTGAGAAACATGTCCAAACACATTTTATTTGGCATAACCCCATGCATGTATGAACTAAGCAGAAACCCTGGGAGCAATACATTTTGACTTAACCCTGTAGTTAATTTATCTTTTGTGCTAGAGACTATATACTCCTGAGGGAAAGACTGGGTCTGTCATATTCATCACAGGTTCCCAATGGGAGAATACTGCCTAGATCATAGTAGGTATTCAATATTAAAGAACAAAGAAATGAATAAACTCACTTGAAATATGTAAGGTGATAAGAATTTATAAGTATTTAAGAATATTTAGAAAGTTCCATTATAAAATTCTTGTAGTGGACATTTGTTTTCATTCAATGACCATGCATTATGGATTACAATATAGAGAAGAGCAAGACTCCCCTCCTACCCCATCCCCACACACAAAGCAACTCAGAAAGAGCTCTGTAAATAGACCATCACAACACACTGGAACAGTAAAATAACAACGGTGACCTTGTGGTCCAAGTGTTCAGATGCTAACTGAAACGCTGGCAGTCTGCTTCTGTAAAGGTTACAGCCTTGGAAACCTAAGGGTCAGTTCTCTGTCCTGTAGGGTAGCTATGACTGGACAATAACAGTGCATGGTACAACACTTCCATACTTAGAATACGCATTCAGACCAGTATGGTGGGAGCCTTGCCTCGGAGAGCTAGCCACCACCTGTGTGTCAGTGTGGTGTACTGTGGAGGTTTGCTCGGTGCAGTGCAGCTGGAAGTTGTGCCACTGGTTTTCAAATACCAGCAAGGCCATTTACGGTGGACAGGCTACACTAGCGCTTGCACATGAAGGCAGATCAGGAGGAGAGGCCTTGTGATCTACTTCTGAAAAAGACAGAGCAAAAATCTTACAGATAATAAGAGAACATTGCCTAAGTCTCTTACTTTTGAACACAACGTCAGGAGGATTCCACAGCCAGAGTACAACATCATGTTTGGTAGAGGGCCAGTGAGGGAAAGGGAGATCACAGTGAGATGGACTGACAGATAGCTGCAAGGGCGAACTCAAACGCGCCAGTGAGTTTAAGGATGCTGGAGGACTGGGCAGTTGGCTCTGCTGGACATAAGGCTGCCAGGACTGAGTCAATTCGAGGAGCTCTATAAGAGAGCGGGGACAGCTTCATAGAGGAGGTGACATTTAAGACAGACCTTAAAGGATCAGCAGGAGTTTGCTAGATAGAGACAAACCGCAATCTAGATAGAGGAAAAAGCATTAGGGGGGCCCTGGAGTTTAGGAGAGGGATTCCTGGGGGCTGAGGCCTATGGTGTGAATAGTATGAGTAACAATAATTATCTTCCCCCTACCTGAGGAGAAATTACTTAATATTACTTATTACAAAAGTCTTGTTTTGAACTATATAATTACTTATATAGTTATATTATATATATTATATAGTTATATTATATATAACTATATAATAACTGTATAATTTTAAATATCTGCTTTATGATTATATATGTTTAAAATATATAACCACTTACTTAGAGAATTTATTTAATCCCCTTTTGGGGAGACTTTGAATTACTCTTAAGAGTTAAAAGGGAAAAAAATGCTCACTTGTCAGGTGACATAAAACCAATTTCTACTAAATGTGCCAGAATAATTTTTCTCTACCTTCAGAACAGTTAGTCTCCGGCCTATTCATTACTGTCTTTTTATAGTATTTTTATTTAATAAAACCTATTAAGACTACCATACAAATCTCTTTACTTATGCTTTTATCTTTTAACTGATCAATTTTTATATTGCTGACATCCCTTCTTCACCATTTGCTCATTTAAAAATTCATAGTACATGAGATATGTCTCTGGAGAAAATGTCTATAAAATTTGTTACAGCTGGCAAATGTGTATGAGTCAGTGATAGCACATGACTAAATGCTTCACAGAAAATAAAATTTGTTTCTGTAGTAAGCAGAACTGTTTAAATGTTATTTATTTTTATGTTTCAAAGAAAATATATTGTGAAGTGCTGCATTGATTTAATACGCAACAATGTCTGTGTACACGCTGTAGAAGGAAAATTTATGAAACCTTTGCACAACTCCTTTAATTGAATTTTCCAAATCTCTCACCACACACAAATAATCAATATCTTCTGCAGAGAAAACCAGTCAGAATTATTACAGTCTTTCTTTTCAATTTTGTTGTCATCAGCACATACAGAGCACCTGGATATTTGTAATGGCTGATAGCAAGTTATTTACACCTTCTTAACACATAATTGCTATTAAGTGAGTTCAAATCTATAGTTCTAAAATGTTTACTGATTATGTAAAAGATAAAAATTATCATACCTATATTATGGTATAGTAGAAAAATGTTAAATCATGGAAGAAATTATTTTGAAAGGCTTTGAAAAGTAATAAACCAGTTTGTTTTTCCTTAAGTCTTAGACAAATCTCAAGGAAGCATTTTCAGCAGTCAAAATGTATTCCCCAAACAGTGATGAACAATGTAAAACCCGAGCATTAACATTAGTAATAGGAAAGGCATGAGCCACATACAATACACATGGCAGCTGAATTCTTATTCAGTGCTGAGGACTATAGCTGTACATTAACGTATCTTTGTGTTACCACAATTAATAGCTCCAGTTTTAAAATCTCCAGGTAAACCCAGAATGTGAAAACATAAGGTGAATTTTTGTTGTTTATCTTAAAACTCATCATGCCTAAACTTCAAACCTCAGTGCTTTTAAAACTGAATCATCAGTTTGAAAACAACAACAAAAAAGATAACTGTTTAATGTTAAGATACATTACCAAAAAAAAAAGGTAGTAGTCTTCTGGGAGGAAAATTATTTAGCTGATATGAGGAATACTTTGTAAAGACTGAATTGGGAAAAGAACAATTTATTTTTAAGTTTAAAAAAAAATTCTTCAGTGGATGGCTAGAAAGAAAAGGCAATATCAAACTATTTTAGAGTCTTACAACAGAAGTTTAAGATTTGTTCTATGGTCTAAGAATCTGATTATCTTTTATTCCACCAAGATGAATTTTACAATGTAGGAATGCAGTAGGCTAAATAAAGAAAACAAGGACATTATATGTTTGTGCTTTTTGTTTAAGGCCATAGCCAGAAATTCTGAAATATTTTCTATTAAAACAGCTGAAATAATCAACTTTTTAGAACAATGTAAAGTTCAGGTTGCATTTTCATTTAAAATACGCATTCTGCAAACGACATAATTATTCTCAAACAGATAAAATATGTTTTGGACTGAAGCTAATCTAAGTGTCTAGAATTCGTATCTTGGCTACTGTTCTACAATTTGCTTACATTCTTTTAAAAAATATTTTGTTTACTAAAAGTACTAGTCAAAGACAAACAATGATGATATTTTTCAGTATCTCTGGAAAAAAAAGAAAGAACTGAGTGCTATACAATGCCCTCTATTGACTAAGGAATATTCGTATGAAGTTGTTTTAAGTAGAGGTCGATTATATAAAGTAAATAAATTTCATGCCTTACCATGTGATGATAATGTGACATTCCATCTGTATCAACCCACTGAGTGGTTCTAAGTTTTAAACCTTCAGCATGACAAATTCAAAATAACTATAAAAATTCACAGAGAAATCTAACAATAAAAGAAGCTTTCATTTCTGTATTTTCCTAATAGTCATAAAGCCAATACTATTAAGGAACGTGACATTGGGCTTACTTCCTAAGTAACTAATGTAAGATGGAAATTTTCCTTTGTTTCAGAAATTAATATTTTGTAGAAGAGATCACCTTTTTCACAAACTCTATCAGACATTACTGGATTTACAAGGTCTAGTTGTTCTGAAGACTATGAAAATCTCAGTTGTACCTTGTCATGGTATAGTGCATATTTTAAATTTCCTTTCAGTGAGTTAAAGAAAGCATTCAGAATGTGTTAGATGGTACTTATTTAAAACACTAGAGTTATTAGTTTTAAAATTATACACCTCTTCTTTTAATCTTG